TATTCAAAGGTCTACTGAAACTGTCAAAATTAAATGTTTACATTATTATTTATGATTTTAAATTGATTCTCCACTGCATGGCAAGTTTTTTATAGTTTCAACAAAATGATGAATTTATGATACGTTTTAAATGTTTTGTTCAAAAATCTATGCTTTATTGCTCTTAGAAAATTTTAAATTATGAAATAAGAGTGACATATAATTTTCAAAGGAACATATAATTATTCCTTATCGGGTTAGCTTATATATATTGTAAGGTTGGCACTTGCCTTTTTTTCCTACTTTCAATCACCATTTATTTTTGAATTCAAGAAAGAACACCAGAAATTCATTTATTGGTATGACAGTTTTCGATAATCGGGTTGAAAATTGTGTCATAGATGAGTAACTTACGTTGAGGATGAGAGCTGTGTTCAAGTTTTGGAATAGACTAACTACGGAGTATGTTTCATCTATGGTTTTGGTGAAGTAGGTGAACTAATGTCAATTCAGGTATTTAAAAAAATGTGTAGGCCTACAGGGTTTTTACTTTGATGTACACATGTAGCTAGGTCGAACAACGCATCTAAAGCTCACTACATACAAAACATTCGGAAACACAACAGTGTCATCACATCTCATCGCATTTGCATAATTTGTTACCAAGGCTGGACTAGGTTATGGATTTGGTTCCGCAAATGTTCAAGATTTGTGATCAAATTTCCTACAATTATGGTTCATTCCATCCACGAAAAACATGCACAGCTTTATGTGGTCGATGTGGCCAGGCAAAACTACCCCATAAGCTAATGAATTATCAAGTAAGAACAGGATGATTAAATACATGGGTCGATGTGGCAAGAAAAGGAATTAAAATTGCTTAGATCGAAGTAAGAATGTTACTGCTATCTGGAGAATCAGATATTTTTATCAAATAAAAAAAAACTTATTTAAATGCTGATAAAATTCTGTATTTTATGACCAAAGATGAAGATTTACTTATAAATCTGGATACAATCTGAATGATTTTTCTAAAGCAGATGGAATTAGTTGTTAGCAATAAATATTGACTCTTTCCCGTAAGATGATAGACTAATTATATGAACTCATTCTCCCATATAGTGAAAGTGGCTTTGACATGAAACAAACTCATGAACAAACAATTATACTTTTGGGCAACCTAAATCCGATAAAAGGGTAGGAAATATTGTGTTAAACGAATTCAACAATCACGTTTTTTAGGGAACACAATCGTCATACTTATTATTATGCTTATCCTCCCTTCATTTAACTAAGATTTTAATTACTTTACTCTATCGCAGTTAGCTGAATTTACATAAAGCCTCAAGATTAACCGTCGATTTCGACGGGGTTCCACTAGTTATAAATTAAACTTAAACCACTCGTAATCATATACTTATCAACAATCATGAATCATCAAAACAATGCCAATACGATACCGATACGGTATACGTATACAACTTTAGAGTGCAATACAACGTAATGCTCTGCTCTAGGATCAGAGCCAGAGGCAGAAGGGAGGGAAGGGAAGTTTCATGTTGTGTCAAGTGGCGGGGGGCACACGGGAGGGACGATGGCTTAACATAGTGTCAGCCAGCGTTCGCCGCTAGAACCGCTAAGTCGAAAAATTTAAATTAATTTTATAATTTTTAGTAATAAAATTAACTTTTTAATCATAAAATTAAACTGTCAGAACCTAACCTAACCAACCAAACTTGCTGATAATATAAAAAAGATATAAGATAAAAATCAAATAAAGTAAAATCTTTGAAAAAAAGTCAGCCTCTCGACGGGTCTTGAAACTCGAGACCTCCTGATCACTAGTCCGATGCGCTATCAATTATGCCACGAACGCCACTGGAATCACATTGTCCCGTTACGGTATTCATGTCGCCTCAAGAGAAGACATTATAGCCACTAGAGATATGACGTCACCACACCTTTAGCCATCGACCCTCCCGTATGCCCATCCGTGACAAGTGGCGCTGCGCGCTTGCTTATCTCATCTCGAGCATGAGCGAGTCGTGAAATGAAACCCACAGGCGCCGCGCTGTACGCTGCCGACTGCCGAGCGTCAGCTCACTACAAATCGAAACTGCAAATGGCATTGAGTCCTTCAGTTGTAGTGCTGTACAAATATACACATTTTTCAAGTGCTGTTGGTACAAACAGAATAAATGTCTTTATTGTGGTGCTTTGAATACCTGAACTCTGAGCAAAAATAAACAAAATTACGTTGTTCACGTAAAAAAAATTGTTCCGTTGGCGCCACGGCGCCACTTTTTCGTGGCGCCATATGCGGCCGCGTAGTTTGCGTATGGGTTAAACCGGCCCTGGTCATTCGTATTATTTTTTGCCAATGAAGCTGCACAACTATATAAATGAGGAGGCCCCTAAAGTTCAAGAATAAAAGCCAACTTCACTTCATGTATATTCCACTACACCTAACATTCCGTAGAGAGATTATATTGACAACTTTATGTAACTGGTAAGGCTGAGACAACTAACTGACATCCCCCATGTCAAGGACAGCTTTAACAGTAACCCCACAACCAATTTCTCAAAACTGTGCTAGAGGGTTATTCATTGGCTTAGAAGTACGATACGAACTGACGCGACGTGACGAAGGAAAAATCAAACTTACACTGTAACGGATATACCTCTCTTTGAAGTTAGAACGTGTCTTCCCAACAAACAGATTTCTTTTTCAAATAAAATCATAGATTAATCTCCATTACACCGATGAAATAACAGAAGTGTTTAAGTACAAAGATCCATCAATACGATTTTAATACTATTTAAAGGTTCTTCCAAACGAAGAGATACCAGATAGCATACCAACAACTCCGATGACGTACAGTATGGGAAATATTTTATTCATTGAATGATCAACCATATTTGGTAACTAACACAATTAATATCATTATTGTTTTTACACTTATTAATCTTTAAACATTGCTAAATGCTCAAAATATGTATAATTTCACTCAATTTATCGCAGTTAGATGAATAAGCGTAAGCCTTGAAGAAAATAACCGTTGATTTTGACGGGTTTCACCTAGTAATATATGTTAAGGACGAATTAAATTTTTCATTGTCCAACTGAAGTTTTGAATTTTGATGTTTCTAAATTTTGAAAAGATGAAATTGTCAACTTAGAGTTGACTACAAGACTACAAGATCGCGCCACTCTTCCTACACTCATCCTTCACTCATATTTGTGTTAAAATACGCACATAGTGGCGTCCCCATCTTAAATAATTGATATGTATACACCTAATAAAAAAACAAAAAACATGTAAAAAAAAAAAAAAACTGGCAATTAAGTAAAATATTATTTTTTTTTTTTGTATACACGTTTATTATTCATCCTAAAGAACAAATTACCATTTAAAATAATAGTTGTTAAGCGCAGCAATGCATGCTGGGTAATTAATAGTTTTCAAAATTAAGGAGTACCTAAGCTTTTAGGTCTCATGGTAAGACCTGGGCCCGGTACCGATTTACTTTTTTGTTTTTAGGTCCTCAGAGTCTAAAAACACACTAAATTATAATTAATCTATTTATATATTAGCATGATAACTCAAGCTTTAATGATCCAATTTTCATTAAATTGGGTACAAACGTGTAAACCTAAATTTATTTGAACAAGTTCGCCAACCAGCATGATCGGACTTTGGAAACGGGGACTTGTGTGGGGTAAATTTGGATTTTTCCCATTTTTGACCGTAAAAACATAAAATTTCACAACTACTTTCCATAGTAACGATTTTGTAGCTTGAAAAAATAAATAACTACGAATATAGTTAAAAAAATCTACTATATTTAAAATTCCCATATCTTATGGAGGATAAATAAACTGTAGTTGTTTGCTTGTATATGGATACTGTATATTTTAACCAAATTTGTCAATTTTGTTTATTTGATACTATCATAGACAAAAAGAATGAAATATAGACTGTCAGCCGTGCTGCGGTTGCCATGGTTACCATAGGTTCCGGCGCACACCGCTGTAGTTTACGTAGCGCGTACGCCGTAACTACCGTGGTGCTCCAAGCGGTGTGCGCCAGAACCTATGGTAACCGCAGCACAGCTGACGGTCTATATTTAATTCTTTTTTTCTATGATACTATCAACATTTCAATAACAAAACACACCTGTTAAGTGTCTAAGAAAACATTAACAAAACACACATTCTCTATAGCAGCAAACGCAAACCTGAATACTCATTAAAATTAATGTTAAAAGGAAATAAATCAGACAATTTGAATGGAACATTTTAGTATAAAATCCAGCCAGGTAAATAGAATTTTGCTGAGTTGCAGGGTTGCTGCAACGGAGGTATTTTGTGAATAAGTATAATTTTTTCCAAACATTTATTATATATTTATAAAATATATTTGCTAATAGTTCTAGGGTCATTTCCATTAATATATTGTCCTTTTGTATATTTATTTATTTAATTTATTTAAATTTTTTCCACTTCAGAGTTTATAATCTGCCAGACAGTTTTTTGTATGTTATATTTTGTGATCTTGGTTACAAAGGTACCTTGTTCAAGCTTGGACTTATTTTACCTTATAGTTCCGGGTTTGCTGTTTTAACTCTTTAGGGTGTAGTTTTTTCTTTTGAATTTTTAAACCTAACTGCATTATTACTTTTTCCATTTTAAAACCATCCTAAATCCAATCATATTTTGTTTTATATCAATCACCATACATTTGGGGAGTAATATATCAAAGTAAAATTTAAAAAGACAGTAAAAATGTTAATTTTAATGAAATTGTACATCAATGCTGAAGTGAAACCATCATTCACTTAAACTACAATCAGCAACTAACAGGAGTTATCTGTAGAGGTAATCTTTGCTGGATATGTTTTGTACTAAAACACATAATGTGTATTTAACGTAAACATAGCAGCTTTATATTTCTATTGTATAAGACATAAACCTGCCTGGTTTAGCTAACATGTTTATATGATGAATGTATAATAATTACCAATGCTTTGGATGATAGAAGCAAACTCACTGGTACATTTTCATCAACAACCTGCTCCAAAACTGACCTGAAATATATAGTTAGGTTACATGGAGTATAATTATATTATGTCACATTATTGTTCATGTTGTCCATTTGAATAAACTCAATCTTTATGCTGCCTACATAACATAATTCCAAGATGACAATATATTCCATTTAGTTCATACATCTTTTACACTACTGGTACGTGAACCATTATTTGGAATGTTCTTAAGAAGAGATTCAGCAATTTTCTGGATTGATTTTAAGTTTCTTGACAGCTACTATGTCTTTCATTATCTTTAAGTATATAGAACCAGAAAAAATCCAGGATTCAATACCAAACTAAAGGTTTAAATTAGACATGAGTATCCAACAGGTCTAAATCACCAATAATTAATTACGTGGCTAGAGAAGAAGACTTGTATGTGTATAGGGTCAGATTTTAAAAACAAATTTAAATATTTTGGTTTACAAGGAAGCTTTACTCTTATTAAGGGTTCACTTAAATATAATGTATATTGAACAAACTAAGGAGATTCTATGAAGGACATTGTTACAGCTCTACTATAGAGAGAGACTTACTTATTTGTAAACTGACTCATTTGTTCATATGTCTTGAGAGATAATCGCCTTGTGTTTTCATCCATTGTGTATAGGTAATCAGGTATTATTGGAACTGAAACATAAATACAATTTTTTAATCAACGAAGCATGAAATGCACTTGCCTCAATTGTAATAATTTAATATGCTAGGACTCTTGTGTATCTGAAAGACCTGCTCTGCTGGCTATGGACCGTTCACAAAAGAAAGCTGGTTTACAAGCACTTGTTGGCAAGCGCTTCTAAGCTCCAACTGGCATGAGAAAATTGTACATTGTATCAAGCATGTGCGTTCACAGACAAAGCCTGTCCCGGCTACCAAGCACTTGCTACAAGTTCTGGCGACAAGCACGCTAGAACGTTTTGTACTGTACAGACAGGCTCTTGTTGACCGACACCAAACCAGTCAGTGACAAACAACCATGCAGTATGGATGTCGACGAACTGACACCTCAAGTCTTTAGAAGAGGGGCTATTTGGGAATAAACTACACCTCAAACTACATGCTAATAGAGTTCATGTGGATGTATCTAAACATGGTTAAATCCATTTTCATAAAAAAACCTCACTTTGTCCAATTTCAATTGAGGAAATATGTGGTGGTATTCTCCAAACCTACCTCTTCCCCAGTTAAATTGCATAAAAACTGACTTTTTCTACGAATTTTTAATTCAACATTTTCAAGTGAAAATTGCTCTTCATCACTTGAGAAATACATTGTCTCAACCAAAGCTGAGAAAACACTAAGCTTGAAATGCAACCGTTGGTTGTGTACATACCACAAAATTCTCAAGAGTGCTTGGATCAAGCGCTCTTTGTGAACTATGCTAACTTGCAAGTAAATATATTTTAAATATGTATAATGGTACCCATATATTAGTATTATTAGTCCAGCATCTATGGGCAAAAATGCACTCAAAGGGTCAGATACAGTACCATTGCATTTTATCTTCAGATTTTTGTAGGGGCATTAGGAAGATGACCAAACTTTATGATGTCAACCACCCAGCATCAGGTGCTCTATGGGAGGGGGAAGTAGCATTGGGATGCTTTCTAAAACAGCACTCATCTTGCAAACTACACACACACTCACATGATAGAAACATGCTCTGGCATTTTACTACACACATTATAATATTATAGTCTAACAAACCCTATTATAAAAAAAACCCTATTAGTCCAGTCAATGAATGATCCAAAAGTAGGTGTAGAGTGCGTGAGCAGGTAACTAAGCGATTCCTTCAGAAACTTGTTCAGGGGGCTTAGGGTGTTAACATACCAAAAGTCCTGACTCCTAGGTGGTGAGCCAGGGGCTGGAGGGGGGAAAAAGGGGGGGAAAAGGTACGCATTTTGGGTTTGTTTTATTATATCTCGAAAACTATCAACTTTTTGTATACTATAGTTAGTTATAAAATTGAAGAAGATTAAATTTTCTACAAGAAAAGTATATAATGTGTTTATTTTGGTTAAACAGATTGCGAGTTATAACTTATTTAATTGATATCTTATTAAAATACTCCTTCCATAAGAAATACATGTAAATTAGTATGCGAAATGGGGCGAATCCTATCCGCCCAAAGGAAATATAAATGATATTCTGGAAATCTTGACAAAATTTCCAGTAATTTGACACTATAATCATGAAATTTTGTCAAAAATTAAAGCGAGGGTGAGCGTTTGAAAATGGGATGATTTAAGGTTTTTTTTTATATTTCCAATAAAAAACACCAAAACTCGACATTTTGTTACCTCGCCCTCGCCTTAATTTTGGATCAATTTTAATGATTAAAGTGTCAAATTACTGGAAATTTTGTCAAGATTTTCAGAATATCATTTATATTTCCTTTGGGCGGATAGGATTCGCCCCATTTCGCATACTAATTTACATGTATTTCTTATGGAAGGAGTATTTTAATAAGATATCAATTAAATAAGTTATAACTCGTAATCTGTTGAACCAAAATAAACACATTATATACTTTTCTTGTAGAAAATTTAATCTTCTTCAATTTTATAATTTACTATAGTATACAAAAAGTTGATAGTTTTCGAGATATAATCAAAAAACCCAAAATGCGTACCTTTTTTCCCCCCTTTCCCCCCCTCCACCCCCTGGCTCACCACCTAGGAGTCAGGACTTTTGGTATGTTAACACCCTAAGCCCCCTGAACAAGTTTCTGAAGGAATCGCTTAGTTACCTGCTCACGCACTCTACACCTCATTCCTTGACTGGACTATATCTGCTATATATAAGCTATGAAATTTAACTTTTTATGAAATTTATACTGAGCGACTCAGGTATAAAAATTCTATACCACTTCTATAAATAAACAAGAGACTTGAAATTCGGCAGGGTTGTTGGTTTGAGACCCAAACCCCCAGAAAAATTAAAAAGGATAATTTTAGGTTTTCACACACCCCCCTTTTAATTTCCCCTCCGGGGAACAACATATTGTAAATTACTGACTTTTGTATGCAGACCTAAAATTCTTTGGAAATTTGTTTTTAGCTAAATTCCCTCTATGGAACAAACCCATTACCTTAGGTACGGTGGTAAGAAAAATCTAGTGCTAGATATCTGGAATTGTATTCACCCAGAACTAACTCCTGTTGAGAGCAGTAAGGCGTTCTCTCCATCCTTGATCATTCCTCAAATTTCCTCCCACCTTAGATAAAGTCATGACAGGGCAAGAAAACAATACGATGCATTGATATTTTTCTATAAACAAATATTTTAAAGAGTTGTTAGCCTCCGGATTACGTTTGAATATTTATAATGATTTAAATACCTGCATTCTCTAGTCCAAATTGCTGCTTGTGGCAACTAATGTTTCAGTTCACTATACGGAGCCATCTTCAGGCCGTACAAGGTGTTGTTATTCACCTCCGTATGAGGTATGAAGATGTTTATTAAACGACGACCTTTATATACGGAGGTGAATAACGACGCCTTGTATGGCCTGAAGATGGTTCCTTAGTGAACTGAAATTATAGTTGCCACAAGCAGCGGTTTGGATTACTGAATGCAGGTATTTAAACCATTATAAATATTTAAAATATAATTTCCCAGAACTCTGTTCTACTACCTCGCCCTCAAATCGGACCCTGATAATCACTATATAAACATATGTTTGTGTTACAAAATCTCTGATTTTAATTCATAGTAAGGTTTTACAATTTATCATCTTTACCTAATGATGGATGTCAAATACGAGTAAAACGATTTTAGGTTTCGTTCAAATAGTTCCCATTCTACCTAGTACTTACCAACAACTGTAAGCAAAATGTTGTCCAAGAAGAGTGAGAGGTAGACGATTGCAACGATGACTATTCTAGGAGCAGCAATAGGGAACGGTTTGACAGAATCCATGGTGCAGCAACTGTCTGGTAGGTACAAAAGTTAAACTGATCACGATTTGAGCATTGTTTAGGTCCATTTATTCACTTTTGACTACTAGGCAGACATCCTATGATATCCATATCAACCAACTGTATCCACAGTTTTATTAAAATAAAATGTAGTGGAATGAGCCTTCTAAGTCGTCACATAGTGTGTTCCTCTCAAAATTATATTACCTTCCTTAGCTTTTATGTTATGATGTGGCTTAACAGGTGCTATAGTTTTGAAGTTGTCCTTTATATTTAACTTGTTTGGTTGGTTTAGAACAGAAAATCAGTAAAGATAGCAGCACAATTTGAAAAGAGGCTTGGTTCAATTATATTAATTTTTCTAACATAGGAATGGAACATCTACGCCTACTTTTGTGTGCTCAAAAACGCTTATTGTAGGCCTACTGAACCAACATTTACTAGGTACTAATTTTCATGTACCTCCTTTTATTCATTTTTTAAAACTCTTTACCTTCACAGCAATGTATTTTAACGATAGTAGTGTTTTAAAAACGGGTATTTAAAAATGTATGTGTCAAGTTAAAAAGCCAGTTTGTGTGAAATTAAAATAAGTAAACAATATTAAGTTTTGAAAAATACTGTTACCCTTTTTAGGGCAATTGTGAGCATAATTGTGGGTAGTTTGATTAATTTGTATGAAATGTAAGCATATACTTTGCATGATCAACAACTGTATTCATGAAAGTTTTTTTTAGCAAATTTTAGGGAATAAGCTTATACTGTAGGTCTCATGGTAAGACCCAGGCCTGGGACCGATTTATTTTTTTGTTCTGATGTGTCCGTTAGCGCGATATAACTCGAGCGAAAATGATCAAATTTTGATGAAATTTTGTACAAACGTATAAACATACATTTATTTGAACAAATTCGCGAAACAGCATGATCGGACTATGGAAACGGGGGTTTTTAGGGTAAAAGTAGGGTTTTCCCATTTTTGACACTAAAAACACAAAATTTCACAATTTCTCTCAAAACCATTTTGTAGAGCTTAAAAAAATAATTTTGTATGTTGATTGTTGAAGCGTTGTTGTATGCCTAACGGTTACGGAGATCATTAAAAAAAATTGTAAATTTAAAATTTCCATGTTATTCTTATGGAGAATCATTAAAATTAATGTTATTTGAATAGGAAATAAATCTTTCAATTTTGAAGGAATATTTTAGTATAAATCAAGCCAGTTAAATAGAAATTCGCTAAGTGTGCAGGTTTACTGCGGCGGGGTATCTATATACTGTATTAATACGCAAGCAGGTTTCGTTTCACAGTCATAACTCGATAACGGCTTGACGGATTTTAACGTTTGAGGTATCAAATTAAAGGTATTTTCACATAGATGTGCAAATACGTCTCAGAATATTAAGAAAGGGCAGCACTTAAGTACAGTTAAGGGCTAAAGTTTGAGATCGGTGGCGCTATCTGTTGACATTAGATCAAACGATCAATTCCCTTGGTTTACAACTAAACATATGGACGTAGTTTGAAATAGTTTTTAAGTTTAACCACAGACTGCAGGACTTATTACATCCAGAGCAAAGCCGGAATTTTATATATTTATTTAAACATCTGTTAACTAAGTCTGGTTCATAAATAAAGTTTCCTAGCAAGACCTGACAACAAATTGTTTGTAATAGTTGAATTTATTTAACTTACATAGTATTTTACTGAATTATCATATAGTTTTGGTTACAGTTCGGTGTGATTAAGTTAATGTTTGAAAGTGATTATTCACAGTGCAGTTACCTGTTACATTACCATATTATCATGTAATTTACAATGTGTATCAAAATTCCTTTGTATAGTGTTATCTATTGATTGGTTAACTTTTGTATTTTATCTAAATTTAAAATTAAATGCCACCATTTAAGACGAAGAACTGTGAGTGGCTGGAGGGAACGCAACAAGACCGCTTGCATCAAACCTCCCGATTTGACGGATACAGAGTGGCAGTACCGCCGTGGTGATACATACAATCTCGGACAAATTTACGTTACATTTTTACATTGTGGTGGCTTACATTTTAAGCAAGAAAAGACTGGCCGAGACAGTTCAATATTTACTCTTTGTTGCCTTAAATGAAAGGTTCGTTTAGATCATTTGCGGAATTCACCATATTCTCAGGAACTAATTGGAAACTCCCAATCTGAAAACAGGGCTGTGAGGCTTGAATCCAGCAGTTATCTGGATAAAATTGTAAATTCTATTCCGCCTTTGCCATGGTCAGCTCTGAAGCTCATTTTGACGAGAGTGTCACACAGGGGATCTAAAATTTCAAGATTCATGATATGTTTTACTTTTTACCACCGAGTAGGTAATCTAATTCCTCAAGAAGGTCATGATCCTGAATACGCACAGATCTATAAGTACTGGTACGACGTTGGCACTGGAACCCAACAGTGCATGTAAAACAATTCAAACAAAAAATGCAATGAAAACATGTATGCGGGAAATAGGGTCACAATACCAACCCATTTGCCCAATCTTTTAAAAGTTAGATTCTATATGTGCATAGTAAGAGACAAAAGAAATGACTTCCCTCACTACAATGATGCTACCTGTATAGATGTCACAGCTATTTTAAAGCTGAAAACATAGCACCACCACCACCTGGCCAAATAAATCTTTGTTTTTATTTATTTTCAAAAACTAATAGTAATAAACGTGAATCCGTTCTAGATACGTCATGAAATCCACTCTTATGTTCCCAGCCGCAGACTTTGGTTGGGGCACCTAATTTAAACATGCCTAAAACAGAACTTGTCGTAAAAATAATTTAATAATGCTACACAGTTACGTGTCGTACTGGTTGGCGTCAAGAGAGGGATTTAGCTTGCTACATTGGTCTGAAAAGCTCACTTTACAGTGTGTGGTTGACGCATCTACGTTCTCATAGAGGGCCTGCCTACAGTACATAAGAGATAACCAAAGCAGTATGAGAACGGATCTATATTTAAAGATTGTACCGGAGATTACTTTTATAATTTTTTAAAACATAATATTTTTCACATTTCTATAATCAGTCATAGAAATTACTTTAGAGTGACTCTATGATTGAGGTTTTGCTGTTTATGTTTTTTGTTCTCCATTATTTTATTACAAGTTGCAGCTTTGCTCGATTTCGAGCAACAGGTTATCTAGTTTTATTTTATTATGTACCTTTTAAAATTAAACCTAATGAAATTGGTTATAAATAGTGAGTTGTGCCCACGAATTCAAATACACAGTAAACTACAAAAATTAATTTATAACAAATATTATGTAATTTATGACACAAGTAAATCGAATAATTATTTTTAGAACGTCATATACAACAGTAATTAGTTTCTTAAAAAGTCACTAGCACTTACAAAAATAAAACCCATTAACACCTTTTTCGTTTGACCCACATGTAGGTAGCTGTCGAACATGTATACTGCCTCTTAACTATATGCGTAATTTTTTATTTACGTGCATGATATTTCACACTATCATTAATTATTGCTGACACTAATCTATTTAACATTAAGTCACATGAGTGTCAACTCAACACTTTTGTAAAATGGTGTTTGCTGTGCATGTAATAAATAAATAAATAGATGGAGTGACACCATACAGAGTATGTATTATTATTTACTTAATTTTAACGCTTTCACAATCACAATATTCATACAAAAAATGTATGTATAAATTGATAGACACTATAAAAAAGCAAAAAATGCTATTAATTTATTTGCCAATTATAATAGACTAGCAACAGTGCCCGTTGTGGTTAAATACAACGGTCTCTAGTAAAAAAATGGTTATGAAATCCATACACCACTTTACTCACTAATATTAATAATAATAAATAATCAATAAAGCTATGCAAGCACATATTTGTCATCAAGCATCATCATTTATTTATCTAATGTATTACTCGACGAAATAATTTTTTTCTCTTCAATTAAAGATGCATTCCAGCAGTTATAATTACATTATACATTTTGGTATACAAACCTTAAGTGAAATACCAGCTTTCATTTGAGCTATTGATTATTAAGATCGGACTACCTAAAGCACACTGCTGAATCACGAATCAACAATAAATACAATCGTTTTAGTACCTATCTGCAATCAATGATACGTAACTCTATTTCTATTTAAGCTATTTTATATGTCTTGGACTTAAAATACTTCAAAGGCTTTCACTTGAGATATTGATAGTTTTAATCAGTTAAGTTCAAGATACTGTATCGCTCGATCATAAAATGTAAATTTGATTATATCTTGGATATGGAATTTAGTTTTAGATGCATTTATTTAATTCTAATTTCGTTATTCTATTTATTTTGACCTAAGAACCTTCATTGAAATACCAGCAGCTTCTATTTCATTAAAGCACGCATAGCTAAATCACAACCAACACAAATTGTAAAAAAAATGGAGTTATTTATCATCGATTTATAGCCAAACGATCTTGCTTGCAACTTCAACAGTACTTTCATAGTTATTTGCAAATCTTCACAAATTAGGCTATCCAATGACCTATTAATTAATAAAATCGGTTCAGTAGAACTGTAGATTTAATTGTACAAAGTTTAACAACAACATCTTTAATTCAGTATTTTCTCACTACTATAAACCTGGAGGTTGCATAACGTTTTTGCAAATAACTTTGAAACGGCGAGGAAATCGACCTAAGTGGAAGGTGATATTCTGAAAGAGAATAAAATTTCCTACAAATTACTATCATGAGTTTCTTGAATATACTCAATAAAGGCAGCCTAAAGTTGGCTACAAATATAAAATTGAAAATATAAACCTGGAATAAAAAGAGTTTTAAATGTATTATTTTTTATTTTTTTATTTTTTGCCTTAAATATCTAATAAAATCAAACTTTCATAATTATTTGCAAATCTACACAAATTAGGCTTTCCAATGACCCATGACCCATTAAGTAACAAAATCGGTCCGGTAGAAGTCTAGATTTAGTTGTACAAAGTTTAAAAAAATATATCTAGCCTAATTCAGTATTTTCTCACCACTATACTATAAATTTGGAGATCACTTAGATTATTGTCAATATCTTTTAAATGGAGGGGAAATCAACCAAAGTGAATGTGATACTCTGAAAGAGAATAAAATTTACTACGAATAACTACGATGCAATTCTTGAAAATACTTAATAAGGGAAGCCAAAAGCTGGCTACAAATAGAATCTTGAAAACAGAAACTTGAAAACCCCAGTTTTTAATGTATTTTTGTTTTTTTTTTATTTTTCACCGCAAATATTTAATAAAATCACAATTTTATAATTATTTGCAAATCTACATGGATTAGGCTTTCTAATGACCCATTAGTTAACAAAATCGGTCCAGTAGAAGTCTAGATTTAGTTGTACAAAGTTTAACAAAAATATCCCAAACTCAATATTTTCTCTTTACTATAAATTCGGAGGTTGCTTAGCTTTTTTCTAAATAACTTTTAAATGGTGAGGAAATCGACCAAAGTGGAAGGTGATATTCTGAAAGAGAATAAAATTTCCTACAAATTGATACCATACACTTCTTGGAAATATTAAAAAATGGCAGCTAAAAGTCGCGCCCAAATAAAAAGTGTGAAAAACACCGTTTTCAATGTATTTCTTATGGAAAACACGTTTTCTTTAATTTATCACCATAAATCATAACAAAAACAAACTTTCATAATTATTTGCAAATCTACACGACTTAAGCTTTCCAACGACCCATTAATTAATAAAATCGGTCCAGTAGAACTCTAGATTTAGTTGTACAAAGATTTTTAAAACTGAATTATACAGACTGTCCCAAAAGTCCCGGACCGGTTTAATATTTTCTAAACGACAACAGATAAATCAAAAAGATTTGGTACATCAACACCACACCTAAAAATCTACTATTTTAAGGAACTATAAATTTTCTGTCATATCATGGGGACGTCCCGCAAGGAGTCAGAAGGAAATCTTAAATAGAAGCATAGACTGACATGTACATCAAACTAAAGGTCTTTACTAGCAGAATATAATGCCGCAAATTTGAACTCAAACGGACAACCGAGCCAAGAATGACAGCCGTTCAAAGATTTCTTGAATCAGCCATTTTGAATCTTTGAACGACTGCCATTTTTTACTCAGGCGTTCTTTTGAGCTTGCATTTACGGCATTGTAATCTACTAGTGAAGACCTTTAATTTGATGTGCATATCGACCTATGCTTACGTTAACAATTTTCTTACGAATCCTAGGGCCGTGCCCTGAGGAGTACTCGTATAATGGCAATGCAAATTAAATGAATCTTTGAACCACTGTCCTTCTTGGCTCGGTTGTCCGTTTGAGTTCAAATTTGCGGCATTATATTCTGCTAGTAAAGACCTTTAATTTGATGTACATGTCAACCTATGCTTCTATTTAAGATTTCCTTCTGACTCCTTGTGGGACGTCCCCATGATATGGCAGAAAATTGATATTTCCTTAAAAATGTAGGTATTTAGGTGTGGTTTTGATGTACCACATCTTACTAATTTATCTGTTGTCGTTTATAAAATATTGAACCGGTCCGGGACTTTTGGGACAGTCTGTATATAGAATAGATTATATATTCTACAAATATATTATTATTTTATTAATAAAAATATTTGACGTGTTTCAAAATATATATCTCAAGTCTATTTATATAAATACATGAAATATCTTACTAATATTATAAACTAGCTCTTGTACCCGTTGTTCTGTATGTAATTAGAACAAATTAAATGTATTAATCAAAGTACAGTTTTAACCAACTTTATTCAGCACAAATTAAAAACAAAGTGAAGAAGTAAACATTATAACCAGCTGGTAATAGTTATAAAATAAATAAGCAATAGGTAAAGATAGACATTTAGGATGTAACACTTCCCCTTCTTAAGTGAGCTTCATAAATTGAGTCTATCCACGGGTTTATGTGTCCTTTTTGACCGTCTCACTGTAATAGCGGGAGTTGGTGCCACTGGAACATCTGATATGTTGTGATCGTTGGCCTCTGGAACATCTGGTATGTTGTGATCATTTGTTATGTGGTTTTCGGTTGGTATGTTGTGATCATTTGTTGCGTGGTTTTCGGTTGGTTCCTCTCTGACTCCTCCAAAATGGACTCCTCCAAAATTTGTTGGTATGAATACTTGATTTTGCTCATTCCTTAATGAAAACTCACACAAGTTTCGCCCTGATCGTCTAATTTGGTCTTGATGACGTCTGATTGTGCCACTGCTTGTGGATATTTCATAATTTCTTGGTCCTTCTTTTCTATTGATCTTTCCAAAACCCCATTTGTTGCAGGTCCCATAGAGGCGGTAAGCGACAGGGTCTTGAGCTTTAAATGATTTTTGCCTGTCAGAATATGATTTTGAGTCAAAATTTTGGTTCATTTTTTGTGACAAATCAGGATACAGTAAGTCAAGTCTTGATCGGATTTGACGTCCAATGAAGAGATGTGAAGGAGACTGTCCTGTAGTACTATGTGAAGCTCTTCGATAGGCCTTAAAATATCTCTGTAATTTCAACTCAATTGAGCCTTCCTCAAAGTGCATGGCTCTGATGGTATCTTTCAAATCTTGTACATAGCGTTCTACTTGGCCATTAGTAGCAGGATGGTAAGGTGCTGATCTCTTGTGTCTAATTCCGTTTGATTTAAGAAATTTTTCAAACTCTAACGAAACAAATTGCCTTCCGTTGTCTGACACTAATATGTCAGGGATTCCAAAAGAGCCAAAGAATTTCCGCAAAGCCTCAATGGTTTTATGTGAATTTATAGTTGTAAGTGTTACAATCTCTGGCCATTTACTGTAGGCATCCACAATTAGGAGAAAATAATGGCCATAAAATGGTCCTGCAAAATCAACATGAACTCTTTGCATAGGCCTTGAAGGATATTCCCAGTGGTGAACTGGTGCTTTGGGTGCTTCATGTTGTACTCGTTGACATCCCAAACAATTTAAGGTCATATTCTCAATATCTGTATCAATTTTAGGCCACCAAACATATGAACGAGCTAGTCCCTTCATGCGCACTATACCCACATGTGCCTCATGAAGTTCTTTCAAAATTCTTGTACGAAGTTGTTTGGGAATCACGACACGATTCCCTTTTAACAAACATCCAAGTTGAATCGACCATTCTTGTTTGTTAGAAGACATTGGGTGATGGATTGGTTCCCCTCTGATTATTGATTGATAAATATCTCTAAGATCTGGATCAGATTGTGTGTTTTTTGCCATTTCTTCAGCTGTGACAGGTAAAGTATAGATTTGTTCAATTTCGTGTACGGTACATCAGCTGAGTTAATAACAGCAGCCTCTTTAACACTTTTAGGCAGTCTTGAGAGTGCATCAGCATTAACATTGTCTTTGGTTGATTTATACTTTATGTCAAATGAAAATGCCTGAAGGAATA